GCACAGGTCATGTGACATGCATAGTGAGACATGGAGACATGAACTCTAGCCACAGCCTCTTTATCAGCCTGAGGGCTGAGAATCATGAGGTCCAGTCTCTTTCTTTCTTACTGTGATGTCATAGTGTTACCTGGATGTGATAGAAGCCATCCTGTATGCTTAAGCAGAATGGTCTTGGTCATGAATCATAATAAACAAACTCCAGGACAGAGTTTGTTTCCTCTGTGTAGCTGTGGCATGAGATGTGAGGGACACTGGGTGGTGTCAGGTTGGGTGGATGGAGAGAGGCCTGGAGCATTAGTGTGTTAGTAGAGCATATGCAGATGGTGGATGTCATGTTCATGAGACCGAGTGAGGAAATCCTTCCTGAGTGTAGGAGGCTCAGCACAATTGCCTATGCCAGGTGGACTACAGAAGAAGCAGGGGACACTCATCCTTTATCTTCTCAAGCTCTTCCTCCTCCAGAGCATGAGCTTCTCCTACCACCAGTCTTGGACATCAACCTCAAGTCCTTTGTCCTTTGGATCTGGACTTGCACCTTCTGCCCTCTCTGGGGATCATGGACCTGCAGCCCTGGACTGGGAATGTGTCATGGTCTCTCTCCTTCTGTGGTTTTTGGCCTCTTGGCTGAAATGCAAACTGAGGAAGGCAAGGCAATGCTGGTAACAACCAGTTTGGATAGATTATCAGCCTTGTAAGAAATGCAGAGAGGGAATTGTTGACAATGTCTTTTTGGAAGAGCTATGGCCAGGCAGTTACAAGTAGATCAGAGTTTAAAATAAGTGCTTCATAAATGAATGATCATTTAAATGTCATTAAGGAGCAGGGACTGTCAATAATTTGCATGAACAAACATATAGACTGGAGAGAGTCATCTTCTACTATCCCATTTAGGCTCATGAACCAATGTCATGAGGGACCCTTCTTGAACTCCTATAACATCATCTTCATCCCACACAGTTCATGTGGCTTCTGGTACTTCTGAGCATCCAACTCGCCAACCGGGCTGGCCACTGTTGACCCCCTATATCATACCTAAAGCACAGGACTAGACTGTCCCTCAATGTCGACCTGACTCCAGTAGACCTGACCAAAACTGGGAGGGCTGGGAGGGATTCTTGTCTGTGCCTTTGCTTTCAGCCT